GCATCTGCCCCCCCGGGGGCTGCTTCCTCCCAGGGCCGGCCCCAGCCTCGCTGCAGCTGGAGGATGATACCAGCGGGGCAGAGGACGTTTCCAGCGGTAAGAGGAACGTTTCCAGGCTGCTCGGCGCTGGCTGCCGTGGAGGCAAAGCCCTCGGTGTACAGCGCTCCCCGGGAAATGCCCAGAGAGGAAACCTGACGCTGAACAGATGGCAACCGCTCCCGCGGGATGGCCAAGAAACCAAAGACATCCCACGGCAGCCCTTCGGGTTTGTAATGGACAGCAGGGAGCAAGAAGGGGAAAGCTGCCTTTGGAAAGGGTCAGAGGTTTCTCTTTCACAGGAGCTAAAGCAGGACTCCCAAACTGAGCAGCAGAAAGCCTGCAGGATTGCAAAAGATTGGAGGCCCCATCCCTGGAAGCATTCAAGGCCAGGTTGGACGGGGCTCTGAGCAACCTGATCTAGTTAGCGGTGTCCCTGCTCCCTGCAGGGGGGTTGGACGAGATGACCTCTAGGGGTCCCTTCCAACCCAAAACATTCTATGATTCTGTGATTCTAAGTTGCTGCCTAGCACAGGCGAGAGGGTGGGAGGCCCAGAGGCGGCACCGACGTTGCCCCGGTTCACGCTGAACGCGCGTGGCAGCGCATGGTGCTCGGTTTCGCTTTCAAATACACCCGAGGACCTGGATGAAGTCTGTTGAACAGCCAGGCAACCCGACCGCCCTCTGGCTGGGGCAGAGAGGTGCCCAGGGCTAAGCCACCCGCTGAAACCAGACTGCAGCTCCTCGCAGAGGACGGCCGGGGGGGGTCTCGCTTGCTCCTGGGGACCCGCAGGCTTTGAGCATGACACCAGTCCCAGTTTCAGGGCTGGAACTCAGACTGTGCAGCCTCCAGGTCCCACCTCTCCATCCACGTAGCCCAACTGGTGGCTGAAGCAAGCTCTTGCCCGAGGGCTACGCAGCAAAAGGTGGGATCGCTGCAGCTCCCATCCCTTCCCAGACCACATGAAATACACCCTTGCGGTCTTAAGAAGCCCCTGGGCTGTGCTTTGGGGGCTTGTTTGCTCCAGCATTAGTAATTATCTGTCTACAGAATCAGCATTAGCACCTCTGCCCAAGGCTAACCCAAGTGTGGCCAAAGGAGGGTACGCCAGCACGAAGCCGGCTTGCGTGGGGAGGGAGCTGCCGCCTTCGAGCCGCGCTGCCGGAGCAGGACGGCCGCAGAGAGGCAACCGCAGACCTGCAAGAGCAGCACATACCTCGGTAAAGCAGCAACGCAGGAAACTCAAGAATAAAAATAGCTGCCTCAGCCTCACTGAAGAAATAAAGAGAACCCCCCCCGCACATACACAGAAACCAAACAATGCAGATGTGGTTTGCAGAAAGGGGAAAAGACAACTCGGCAAGCAGCAGCTCGCTGCCTGCTCCCCTCCCCAGCCCTGCAGCGCACGATGGGCATCGGCCACCAGACCCCAGCCAGCCCTCACCCTTCGCCAGCACGCGGGGGAGCGGAGAGGGCACAGCCATACCCACACCAAATAAGCCTAAATTAACCCTCCGCAGCCCCCCCAAACGCCCAGCAGTAAGATCGAAAAGGACAAGAATCGGTTTTCCACAAACAACAGATCCCCAACTGCTCGAAGGATACAGTTTAATCTCCGTTTAGACTAATCTGATTAGCGGGGATATAATCCTGTGTGTTCAGGCTCCCTTCCCCAGTACCTTCGGGCACTGGTACGTCAAGGCTTCATGCTGGGATACGACATCAAGGCAGATATTTCACCAAGCTACTGCCCGCGGCTTGCTGCAGAGAAATTCCTGTGCTAAGCTTCCAATAATTATAAATCCTGATTCTCCAGGAGGGTCCTGGGCTCACCAGGAGCCACGGACACTGGGTGGACACCGGTAATTATAAACCCTGATTCTCCAGGAGGGTCCTGGGCTCACCAGGAGCCACGGACACTGGGTGGACACCGGTAATTATAAACCCTGATTCTCCAGGAGGGTCCTGGGCTCACCAGGAGCCACGGACACTGGGTGGACACCGGTAATTATAAACCCTGATTCTCCAGGAGGGTCCTGGGCTCACCAGGAGCCACGGACACCGGGTGGACACCGCACTGTGGAACTGGGCATGGGTTTGCCATTTATTTAAGCGTTCTGGGCATTTTGGCCGGAGTTCCTGATCTCCTGGCAGCCGGCGCCGCTGGAGCATGGATGTTGGGTGGGCACTATCCTGACCGACCTCTCGGCCGGACGCTGCAGCAGCCAACCCTCTGCCACGGAGCTGCACCGACCAGGGATGCTTTTGAAGCAGCAAAACGGCGCGAGACACCTTGGGACCAAACCCACAGCAGCCGCTGTCTGCAGGCAGCGGAGACGAACGGCCCGGGGGGGCTGGCGAGGGAGGGGCTCGCTCCAAATGACCTTGGCCCAGCTCGGCCTCCAAGATTGCTCCGGTAAAGGCTGCTGCAATCGTGCCGGCTGCTGGGTTAATGCGTTCATACCTTGAAGAGACAGCATCGAGGGAAGCCGGCCCTTTTGTCATCGCAGAGGTAGCAAAACCCCTTCGTAGGAGCCCGTGAGCTTGGGCGGCCAAGGCAGCGCAGGTCAGGGGAGGCGGCGTTCAACAGCCCGGGCTGGCCGGGTGCTGCAGCTCAGCCCCTGGGAGGGGCTCGCTCCAAATGACCTTGGCCCAGCTCGGCCTCCAAGATTGCTCCGGTAAAGGCTGCTGCAATCGTG